TTATTGTCCAGTTTCTTTGATATAGCTATGAATGCAGGTTCCTGCTACCTGGATCGTCTCACACAAGAGAAACCCAAACACAGCTCTGTCTACCAGACTGCTACTTTGGCAACCCTGTGAACCAGAGATGCCAGCAGGGACATTTCTATTCAGGATATAGCTTGCTCCTTGTGGACCTAACTCTGGGCAATGTCTTGGCATCCTTGAGCTGAGGTTGAGTCTTATTTCCAAGCTCTCTTGGCACTGCACTGTACATTCTTGGTTGGTACACAGTTCCATGCCCCAGGGACACTGGCACAGGCCTCTACTTTGGAAAGCTGAAGTACACTCTAGAAGCTTCTCTGCATCTATCCCATTTCTCTTCCTATGATTAGCATTGATTCTGAAATGCATGTTCTAGCATAGATAAGTAACTCTTATGATGGACCATTGTCTACAAGTTGGAAACGAGGGACATAGAAGCCACCTGGTTGACCTTCAGTATGAAAACAACCGTCCTGGATGTGAGTCGCAAGCCTTCTGTCCCTGTGTCCTTGTACTGCTTAGTTCAACTCAGTGTGGAAGCTCAGATACACTCTTTCTCCCAGCCTTGATGCAAAGCAAAAACCACTGATATCTCACCCTGAATGTATTCGTTCCTGAATGTATACCAGAACTACTTAAACATACTTCTTTTAAATGCAAAGACTCAGGGGCTAGAGAGATGGTTCAATGGTTAAGAGCACTGGCTATTTTTCCAGAGGACCAGGGTTCAATTCCCCACATCCCTGTGTCAGTCCACAGCTGTCTGTACTACCTGTTCCATGGGATCCAACACCCTCGCACAGACATACATGCAGACAAACACCAATGCACATAAAATAAAAACAAATAAATTATTTTAAAAAAAGTAAAGACCCATGGCACCATTTTTGAATCACTCTCAGGGATTCAAGTCGAACACACACAAAACCAAGCTCCCCTGTGGTTCTGATACAGCCAGCTCAGAGCCTTTCCACGATCTGGTATTAAAGAAGCCTGACCCAAGAGCTAATGAAGCCTCTTCTCTTTTCCAGATTCAGCACCACGTTCCTGTAGGCACTAGAGTGGTCACATACTTTCAACTGATTCAGAGGCAGAAGGAGTCATTATTTTCCTGGGAAGACTGACAAGTGTGGTGGAATCAGTATACACTAAAGAGTCAGAGAAATGCCTTTTAGTTCTGCTAGATTTCATGAAAATGCAGACTTCTTCCAGGCTCCAGCACCCTGGGAGAACCATTTCACTATTCCTTGGGCTCAGAGGCTCCATTGATTAAAGTAGGCTAACATTTTTAACCTGCCAAAATGGCAGAGGATGCAACAATTTTAAAGCCCTTGACATGAAAAAAAAATCTCCTGTGTTCCTTGAAAGGAAAATGACAGACAACTCCAAAAGTGAAAGTTTTTTAAATCCCCATCCAGTCCAGCCTTCATGTTGCAGTCAGCATCACTACCTCAAAGCAGAACTTGCTGAAAGTGCCTGCAGGCTGACCTCCCCACATGGGGAAAGTGGTGTTCCCACTGCCAGCTAGCTGAGAGTCTAAGCTACATCTTGCTGGGGCCCAATATCTAAGTTAACAGGCTTCAGAAACTCCCTTCTCATGATATTTCCAGTTCTGGTTCTTCAAACTCTCTCCTCTACCTACCCCTGTGTTCAGAGATTGCAAATGACAGCCCTTGGGCAAACTCTGAACTCACACTTGTGTCCAGGACTAACACTTTATTGGAGGATAGTCATGCTGGTATGTTTAGTCATCATCTGTGACAGCTTTGTGCCACAGTCAGAGCTGAGTAATTTTGACAGGGACCCCCTGAGGCCTTGTGGCTGGTAAAGCCTAAAATATTTACTATCTTGCCTTTTATGAAAAGTTTTGTGATTCTGGCCAAAGATGGTTACAGATATTTTTACCATGATCTATAGTAAGTGCATTTTACCAGGATAACTACTGTACACATATGTGTGCATATGTATAGTTACATACACACAGAAGTTTTGGCAAGCAATGTCTGAATTGCAATGCACTCCCACAGCTTCTATTCCTTAAAGCAACTGATGTTACCATGCTAATCTTATGATCCATATTTGAAAAATACCACTCCAGAAAAAGTAAGCCATTGACTACCTAAAAGACAAGTCCCTGCTCTTCTACTTCCATTGACTTTCTGACACTATCCCTTCTGGCAAGTCCTTGGTCTTTCATGTCTCTGTCTAAAAATCCTCCCCATTCTTCAAGTACAAGCTCAGCTTCCATCTCTTTCAAAAAGCACACAGGTCAAAGTTCTAGTCCCAGTGGATTTTTCCCTCATCTCATCTCCTAAAGTGCATTCTCTATGCCTCTTTGTGGTCCTTCAAAGTTTCTGTTTTGTAGAAATATTATTATCCTTAGGAATATGGTCTTCATCACTTTGTATTCAACATGTCACCCAATGGAATGCTTTATAATTGCAAAGCAGTTAATAAATGTTTACTAAGTAGGAATGTGTATTAGCAAGTGGTCCTAATTTGCTTTCTACTGTGGTGATGAAACACTGACCAAAAATCCAGTTAAGAGGAAAGGGATGTATTCAATTTACAACCCCCAGGTCACACTCCATCACTGAGGGAATCAGGGCAGGCACTCAAGGCAGGAACGTGGAGGCAGGAATGAAATGGAGGTCATAGAAGAAAGCTGATTACTGACTTAGTGTTCATGGCCTGAGGACAACTTGTCCAGGGAAACACTGCTACAGTGGTCTGGGGCCTTCGACATAAATCATTACTTAAGAAAATGCCCCCACAGATTTGCCTACCGGCAATCTGATGGAGGAATTTTCTCAACTGAGGTGCCCTCTTCTATCTCAACAAGCAAAACATCTCACATCAGAGTCCCTTCAATAGACTCATCAGCACATTGAAAACTAAGGAAAGAATAGATAAATATAAAGATAAGTTGTGCTGTTCCATTTTTTTTTTTTGTTAGCCTGACACAAACTAGAGTTTTTTGGGGAGAGAAACTTCAACTGAGAAAATATGTCCAGCAGAGTGCTTACAGGCAAGTGTGTAAGCATTTTCTTGATTTAATGATTGACATAGAGGGTCCAGCTAACAGGGGTAGTGTCACACCTGGGAAGGTGGGCCTAAGCTGTTAAGAAAGTAGGCTGGGCAAACCAGTAGCCAGCATAAGCAGCATCCATCCACAACTTCTACTGCAGTTCCTCTGCCTTCAGCTCCTGCCTTGAGTGCCTGCCTTGACTTCATTGATGATGTACTATAAGCTGTAAGATGAAATAACTTCTCTCCACAAGTTGCTTTTTGTCATGAAACCGAAGACATATGTCAACAAGGATCATCTGAACTTAAGCACACACACCACACACACACACACACAGAGAGAGAGAGAGAGAGAGAGAGAGAGAGAGAGAGAGAGAGAGAGAGAGAGAGAGAGAGAGAGAGAGAGAGAGAGAGAGAGAGAGAGAGAGAGAGAGAGAGAGAGAGAGAGAGAGAGAGAGAGAAACCAAATTAGATGAGTGTGTGTAAAAGCTTCAGGTCAACATCTTTGGTCATGAGTGATCAACACATAGTGTAACTGTAATCTCAATATGAAAGATAAATGTTTGAAAAGGTAGTGACTGTTTCTGAAACTAACAATAAATATAGACCCAGAAACATCACTCTCTCTCTCTCTCTCTCTCTCTCTCTCTCTCTCTCTCTCTCTCCCACACACACACACACACACAGAGAGAGAGAGAGAGAGACATATTAAATTTTAGTCATCGGAAATCAAAAATTAAAAGAAAATTGAAGACAGCCAGAGGGCATATGACTTGGAGGAGGCACTTTATATAGAAGAATAGAGATACAAATTATAACAGAATCATGGAAATATGCAAAGCAATGGAGTGACATCTTTAAGTTATTAAAGAAGTAATTTTAAACATTTTAACTGTGACAATGGTGCCATGGTTATATGCTTTTTCCAACATGGATTTATAATTAAAGATTCCCACTGAACTATTCAGGAATAACAAGATGAGCTTTGGGTTAGGAGGTTGCTTCATAATAATAAGGAAAGGTAACTTTCTTTGTGGAGAGAGTACAGAAAGCCATGTTGATGATCATTTATAAAGAGAGAGGGGGGACGGATGGATGGAGGGAGGGATGGAGGGATATTGTAGTACCTACCAAACATTCAGGAGATAAGGGCAGGAAGATGGAAAGTTCAAGTGTGAAACCAGTTTGAGTTATATAGTGAATTCAAGACTAGCCTCAGATACATAGAAAGACCTTGTCTTTAAAAAAAAAAATGTGGCATGCAACATAGTGAAGCACCACTGTATTCTACTCTGAAGTCAAAGATCACAGCTTGCATAGTGAGGCCCTAACTCTAAACTTAAAAGATTTGAAAGCTATAGTTTAAAAAGATTTTGAAAGCTGTAGACAGAGCACTTGTATAGCAAATGAAAAACCCAAAGTTCAGTCTCCAGTACTGAAGACTGAATTATTTTTATCAAATAATGATAAAAAAAGACTGACCATAGCCATGCAGTGGTAGCACACACCTTTATCCCAGCACTTGGGAGGCAGAGGCAGGCAGATCTCTGAGAGTTCAAGGCCAGCCTGGTCTATAGAGCTAATTCTTAGACAGCCAGGGATACACAAAGAAATTCTGTCTCAAAAAGAGAGAGCAAGAGACTGACCATGAGTTGATAATACTGGAAATTGAGTGGTACAATTAATATGATATTCTGTCTACACTTACAATTTTTAAATTCTCGTAACAGAACTTTTTTCATAAAGAAAGGAACTTTTTTTTAGAGATACCCAAAAGAGGTGAATGTGTCAGTGTACACATCCTAATGGATTCCTCTGATTTTTTTTTTTTTTTTGCTTCTAAGTAATTCTTCCTCCAGCCTTTGATGCACAGAAAGATGTAAAAGTCTCCAATGGATTTGAAGAACTGCAGCCACCCTCACCAGTAACATTAGCCCAGCCCAACCTACCAGTGCCAAAGCTCTCTTCTCCACACAGAGAGCATCGTCCAGAGTCCATCAGATTTGAGAAGAATCTCCATCCAGCAGGGGTCTCATATACAGGGACCTTCATTGATTTAGCCACTCTAAAAAATAAAATTTGAGACAACCATCAATTCACATGCCTGATTTCCTTTATTTTCTCAGCTCAGTAGGAAGTCTTATGATCTACTTGGTCCATAAGTACATTTCAGAACAACTTGAAGAGCTGTTGACAGCTTAGTTTTGAAGCTGTGCGTTACAAAGTAAGTAACACCTTTCAATGCTCTCAACTCTGCTTTCTCTATAATACAAGATATACTAAGTCAATGCATGAATGATTCTAATATCAGTGTTCCTATAAATTTGGCAGCATCTAGGAATCCTGATGGCTTCCAGCTAACAAATACAGCTTTCTTTCCTTTTTTAATGTTGTTTTATTTATTTTTTATTTAAATTAGAAACAAGATTGTTTAACATGTCAATCCCCATTCCTTCTCCCTCCCCTCCTCCCCTGCCCCCCACTAACAACCCTACCTATCCAATACCATTTCTGCTCCCCAGGGAGAGTGAGGTCTTCCATGGGGGGATCTTCAGAGTCTGTCATATCCTTTGGAATAGGGCCTAGGCTCTCCCCCATGTGTCTAGGCTGAGGGAGTAATAAAAGATATTTCACTTGGGCTGGAGAGATTGCTCAGTGGTTAAGAGCACTGGCTGCTCTTCCAGAGGTCCTGAGTTAAATTCCCAGCAACTACATGGTGGCTCACAGCCATCTATAATGGGACCCGATGCCCTTTTCTGAAATGGAGGCATATGTGCAGTCATAAATAAATAAAAAAGTTCTAAAAAAAAAAAAAGATGTCCCACTTAATGTCAGAAAGCCACCACTAGGTCAACCTAATTAGTGCCTGGTCCATGTGGAATAGTCAAAGGTCTATCATTTGTCCTAACTTTGGTACAGCTCTGTGAAGCTATTTCAGTTCCAGGGCTCCTTACATGTTGGCTGAAGGCCTTTATGTGCCTTCAGTAGTTAGGTGTTTGTCTGTCTGTCCCTTTCCTATAATTTGGATATGATATGTTCCCTAAATGCCCTCATGTTAGGACTTGGTCCCCATCTCAGCACTATTAAAGATTATGAAGATCCTTAAGGAATACTCAGTGTGATGTTTGAGATCTTTGGGGGCATGCCCTCAAAGGGCTGCGGGATGTTGTTCTCATTTTCTTTCTTTTTCTTTTTTTTTTTACTTCTCATGAGGTGATCAGTTTCCTGAACCATGTGCTCCTACTAATGTGGGCTGCATCACCATAAGCCCAAAGGCAATATGGTCTGGTGACAATGAAATAAAACCTCTAAAACCAGAACAAACATCTCTTCTTTCTACATTGACTGTCACAGGTATTTTGTTAAAGTAACGGAGACCTGACTGAAAAGAGTATTGATCTTAGAGGCAGCTTTGGTCTTTAAGGTAGAAAAGAATAAACTCCCTACAGGCAAATTTCTTTTAGAGCCGTTTCCTGGAGATCCAAGTGTGTGATGTTACTCAACATAGTATAACATAAGATTTGACAAGACTGATCAATCGCTATTTACAATAACTGAAACAATATAAATAAATATCCTAGGAGAATAGACCAATAACTTATGATATTGAGATAGTTAATCTTAATTTTCTACTTGATTGGATTAAGAGACACCTAGAAGATTGATGAAGCATGCCTTTGGGTAGGTTGTTCCAAAGATGATGATGTAGTAAGGTTATGACCTAAATGGCTCGATGCACTGATGGATTCACATTAGATAGACTGCTGAGAGGGAGCAGAAGTGTGGAATATGAATCTAGCTGGAGGAAGTAGGTCACTTGGGCCAAGTCCTTGGGGACCATATCATTAGTCTGCTTCCCAGCCACCACAAGGTGAGCAGTCATTGCCATATATTCCTGCAACCACAATATTCTCCCCATCTCATGCATATAACAATGACTCTAGATAACTCAAACCAAAATTTGAAACTTAGACCTAAAATAAATATTTCCTTATTTCAAATTACTTTCTCTGGCATTTTGTCACGGTAATGAAACGCTTACTATTGCGGATATATAGATGCCATTAAGCAAACGATTGTATTAGGCACCACCCTGAATGAATGAAAGTCCAAACAAAGGGATGTGTGCAATATTGTTTTGTAATTAGCTACTTAGATGTTCATTAGCCTCAAAGGTTCTAGCTCATCTCCTTTTCAACAGTTTAAGAAAAATATGCAATTTCACTTATATCCTGGGAAGAACAATGGAATAGCCTCTCCACAAACCTTAGAACAAAGGAGAACGTTCAGAGCTGCTAACTTCATCTTCAAGAACTCAAAGAAGGAAGAATAAAGCACACAGAAACCCAATGGAGCACATAGGAAAATATGGGTCACAGTTAACATAAAAATGTAAACTCACAAGAGTGTCAAATAGAATGTAACACAGGGAGAAGCTGGGTGGGGGAGGCAGCCATGAGGACACATAATCTTCATCCAAAATACTCTTGTGGGTTCAAAGCCAAGTTGGCAGGACTGAAGGGAGGGGAGAGGATTTCCCAGGTTCCACCCTTCCCAATCAATCACTGTCAGGAGGGCACCAGGCTGGATTGTAAAGAACCAGATACTTGTGTAACTATGAGCCATAGTTGCAGCTATGCAAGCTGAGATAAGATGGGTAATTAAATTCCAGGGCCCTGAGTGTAAAATGATTGTGCCTTGGGGTCAGAAAGGAATTCCCGTCCCTACCCTGAACTTGGGACTCATCCCAAGCACAGCACTCAGCAGACACTCTGGGTTAGACCTCCTGTTGGCAGAAAGCCCCCGGTGTCCACAATCCTTGAATACAAAAGCTGAAAGTGTAGCGGCCAGAGCACTGCCACCATAGGCCAGGAGCAAATGGAAAGCTCTGCCAAGGAAAGAGAGAGTAGGGAGACTGTGGAGGCTGCAACTCTCCTGCCAGGGGGAATGAGCCCTGCCTGGTGGCTAACAGAACATACTGCATTAAGTCATCTCCTCCTTCTCTTAGCCTTACTTTACAGCAGCTTCCCCGATGTTCCTCCTTGTACTCTGTGCTCCTAAAGCTCTTCTCTATTTCCCAGAGATGTTCCTGCCTGCCTTCTGCTCCTGCTGGATAGTGCTAGCCCTTCTATGTCATTCACTTAACTCCGATCAACCCTCCGTTTCCAATCTCTGTCAAAATCTATCTTGAATGATCTGCCATCTGAAAGTCTGCCTAGATACATTTTTGTCCTGCTAAAAACAAAATGCCCGAGACTGATTTATAGAGAACAAAAAGTTATTTCTCATAGTTTTGGAGGGATGCCCAAGAGTACAGTGCCCATATTTGGCCTGGTGAGGAATTTTCTATGTCCTCACAAAGCAAAATACAGAAAAGCAACTTGCCACCTGCTCCACGAAACATCTTTCATAAGGGTTGTAAATTCAGGAACAAGGAAGGAACCCTGCTGGCCTCATTGTCTCTTCAAAGCCCCCCTCCCCTTTTTAATTCTTTCAACACCTGGGCTCTGAAGAGGATTAACTTTCAAAATGGATTTTGGAAGAGTTGGAAGTTTCTCTGGCTCACCCAGCTGATTGTATAACCCTACAAAGTTGTAACAGATTCAAAAGTGACAAGATCTGGGTCCCTTTGCCAATATCACCTTTGTCAAACATCAAGAGGGGTCCACGGGACCATGTTCTGTGTTCTGAATTCTTGACCTTTCTTTAACAGGCTTCACCTTCACATTCTGGGAGAAGATATCTGTATTACACATATCCAACGAAGTCCTCACGCACTCTCCCTATTTTAAATTCCTATGAATCACTTTTAAAAAGTAAAAGTCCACAAAGAAATAAAAAACAAAATAGAGAAGGTCCACACTTTCCACAAGATGATATCCAAAGGATCAATTAGCATATGAAAACTACTTGGAATTGCACACTAAAACCACAGTTTTAGTAGAGGGAAAGAATGGAGTTGCCAATGCTGGAGAAGACAGGGAATCTCATCATGGAGGGATGCAGAGTCACACTGACTACAGCATATTTGTTCAACAGTACAGTGCCATACCATAGCACAGCAAAAATGAGTAGATCTCCACAACGTAGAACAACGTAAGCAGTGATTGGCAACGTGGAGTCAAGAAGCCAGACAAAGGGATACTGCAGTATTCCACTTAGATGCGGTACAAACGGGGTCAAAGAAATCGGTGGTGGCAGAAATCAGGATGCTGGGTAGCTGGGGACGGATGGAGAAGACTGATGAGGAAGGATGTTTCTTCATAGCAGTGATTGTTGCATGTGTGTGTGTATTATGTAAAAATTGCTTGGAATATGTACACTTATGGATTGAGCACTTTTTACATGCACATTATCCTTCAGTTAAAACTTTATTTTAAGGCTAGGCATGGTGGCACATGTTTAGGAGGCCGAAGTAGAAGGAACAAGAATTTGGAGCCAGCCAGCCTGACTTCAAAGAATAAGATCCTATGGAGGGGTGTATAGAGGAAAACCACAATTATTTAACTATTTTTAAAAGGTTATTTGCATGAAAAATCCCTCTGGAGTGTTTAAGATTAAATGCATGTTTGAATTAGCAACATTTTTGTACTCCTAGGAAACAAGGGAGCCCCCATATGTTGGTAATGTCCAGCAGGCACGTAGCAGTCTTCAGGTTAGCTCTTCAGCATCCTTACATGTTCGTGTTCACTCACACAGCCCTTTGTTATCTGGCTCTGCTGTCTGCAGATGCTCCCTAATAAAAGGCTTATATGAACTTGTACTTTAAAATCCTTTTTAAAGGAATCCTGCCCAGATCATAAATATGAATGAGGTAGAGTTCATCCAAACCTTGTTTTCTAATAGCAGTCTCCCCTGATCTTTTTTCTTTTTATCTTCCAATGATAAAGCTTGAATTCTTGCACACAAGAGGCAAGGACTCCAGCACTGAGTTAAACTCCCAAGCCTTCTAATAGTAATCTTAAGTCTATTCATAAGCCATTTTTGTTTTGATGGACTGACTCACACTCTCAGATAAAATAGACACAAAACATTGAGTGGTCACACCAAGATGATTGCAAACGT